CCTCGGCCACTTTTAAGACCCTCTGATGTCTCGGCCAAGATGTTGTTCCTCAGCCACTTTTATTAGTTGTGTCCGTACACATGCTAGCCAAGGTGGTTGGTCAATAATGGATACTCAGGAAATTGCCGAGTTGGGCATGAGGCCTATTTATTTTTAAGCCTCACCGAAGAAGAATATTTGATGACTAATTTCCTTAACCATTTGGTTTACGAGCCAAAGCTCAAGGAAATTGGGGGGCAATGTTTGGACCCAAAATTACACAATTGGCCCGAACAATCGAGGCCATTGAGTGAGTGAAGTTCTAACTGTTAGATGGCTTAGTCATGATAATTTTTATTTATTATTAAGGAATAATATTGTGATTTTTTTTTTGTCATGATAATATCCCTTAATAATATATTGAATCATTTAGACTTGGTTTTATCTTAAAATCTAGCTGGTTTGATTTGTAGTCCAAGGCGTTACAGATTTTCTTCCATGCGTGATGCATATGTGTATGGGTGAGAGACTTTCCATGCAATTCGTGCACGTTCTAAAAATCGCTAGGCGCTAGTCGGGCGGCGGGCTGGGGCATAGCGCCTAGGCGGCTAGGCGAGGCCTAGGCGGGAGCCTAGGCGGACTAGGCGGATTTAAGTAAATCTATCATATTTCAGGTAAATAAGTGTCTGCTTCTACTTGAAATATATATAATTTCATCATAAACTACAAAATAGAATGCATATATATCATGAAGTATTGGAACATAATGAAAACATGTGAAATAAGGATATAATGTTTGTTCATTCAAGTATGCAACAAGTCTCTTACAATTTATTGGAAAAAAACAAAATGCAAAATGAAAGTTATGTATTTTCTGTCTAAGTGAGTTGCAACCTAGGCGGGTCGAGGCGGGTGACTAGGCGGGCTAGGCGGGTGCCTAGGTGGTCTAGGCGGTGGGCTGAGGGCCTAGGCATTAATCGGGGCGGTGGGCTAGGGCCTAGCGCCTAGGCGGGGCCTGGGCAGCGCTAGGCGGGGATTTTTAGAACAGTGAGAGACACTTAAAAGGGATTAGCATGTTCTGCATGGATGAGAATGGATGAAGTTGGAACTTGACCAAGCAAAGAATTGGTGATGATTATCATCGAAAGTGATAATCATGGTGCCGTTTGAAGGGAAGTATAGTTTGAAATGGACATCGTCTCTTTTGGGAGTCTTTGACTTGAAGTGACGGCTTTGGATTGGAGATGATGACTTTGGGTGATGATGAGACAAGCTTAGGTAGACTAGGCCTTTTTGCATAATGATGATGTTGCCAGATGGGTTTAAAAGCCACTGATGGAGTTTTGACGATGAGATAAGAAGCCTAGGTGAGCTAGGCCTTTGATGTGATGTGACAAAGCTTAGATAGGCTTTATTTTGAAAAGTCACCAAATCTGAAGGATATGCCTTGGCATTTCACACAGATCAATTTCAGTTTCATAGAGTTAGAGTTGCAGTTGAACTCTACAAAGCTATTAGGTTGTGCCAAGCAAAAGACAACCACTATAAATATAGAGTTGCATGAATCATTCTCCCTGTCCAATTCAACACACAAACTGCCATATGCAAACTTTTGCTTTACGCGAAACCTCTCAACAACCTTAAGATTTTTATTTTCTTTTTCGCCAACACATCTTCAATTTGGATAAACAGCACTGAGAAGGCAACCGGCGAACACCTTCAGTTTGGATAAACAACACTGTTGCCGTAGAATCGGCCGATCGCGAAGCACCTTCAGTTAGGATAAACAACACTGTGACGAAGCCGACTGGTTATCTATCTAAGTCTCGGTTGAGAAGGATTTTTAAATCCTTATTGGCAGAGGTCATCTCATCAGTTTTCTCGGCAAAGTGAGGTGTTAATAGGTTACTACATTCGGCACCCTGAGAATTGAATTTGATATTGAACTTCGCAGAACTAGCAGCCTTGTATTCAGGCTCTAGAACCCGAAGGCCGAGACGTGTTCCTTCCTCGGCCGCAGTGGCAAGATCAAGAAGTTAGCAATGCACCCAACGCAACATCAACAAATTTTACTTACCGGCCGAGCTCGGCCGTCGAGTTTGTGGAGCCAAAAAATAATCATAAGACGACACGTGGATCTTTGGATAAAAAAAGACAAGAATACCCTTGAGGCACATTGGGATTCCTACGCGCGAGTAGTGGATAATCATCTTCAACCAAGTCAAAAATGCTCAAAATTGGTAACAATTTAAAGCCTATTTCATCAAATCCTTTCTATAAGGTAATTCCCAAAACCTAATTTATTTAATATGTTTTATATTCCATTATTTAGCTAATCAATTAGCTAAATAATATATTCCTTTCAAATTTCCTAAAAATTGACTAATAAAGGGATTAATTACCTAATCAATCCCTTAATTACCAAATTGAAACACCCATTCAAACCTAAAGTCACTAGAGGGCCGGCTATCCCCATTTCAAAACCTAATCCATCACTTTTTTCTACCTTTTCACCATTTCTTCCTTTTTATTAGCCAATAAATTCCATAACCATCAAAACATTTCCTTTTATGTTTAATTAGCCAATTAATTGCCTAATTAAACCAAAACAAAACCTAAAAACCCTACTAAGTGGCCGGCCACATTCCTCTCTAAAGTGAACCAACCTAACCCTATAAATAGACTCCTATTTTCACCAAATATTCATTCTAACACTTTGGCAAAAATCCCAAAATTCCCTAAACACTCTTTCTCTCTAAATTCTAACTTTGGCATCGGAGGTTTTTCGGCCAAAGCTCCCCCATTCATCGTGGGCGCGTGAGGCTCTTGGCCTTAACCTAAGGTGTTAATTGTTTTGTAGGTGCAAAATTGTCCAAGATCAAGGAGGAAGAAATTTGCATCCACAGAGTTGACATGCCCGACACACAACCGAATGCCGTAGTTAGCTTACTAATTACTTGGTCTGCGCGCCACGTAGGCTTGGTAGTTTTTAGGGTCAACAAAAGTTTACAGAGAAATCGAGGAAGAAGATGGATAATTTACAGAGAAATCGAGGAAGAAGGAGAATTTATTTATAGAGCAAGATCAAAGGGACGTGAAAGATCATGAGGAAGAGGAAACGGTGAAAACCCAAAACTTGGCCATTAGTAATTGATTGTATAGCCATGAATCAATTTATTCGGAGAGATCCTTGTCCGTCTACCATGACGCCTTATCATAAAACAATTACTCGCTCTTCAACTTTAAATAAATATGTTATATAATTATTTAGGGTAATGTTTTATTATCTTCTTTTTCTTTTTAAGGCCATATCATATTATGTACTTAAAATTTTCATATTCCATATATTCTTTTTTTTTAAACAGCATATTGTTCTTGTTCATTTACATATTATATAGTAAATTTTATTAATTTATATAATATGTAATAAGTTTACTTAAATTTGCCTTGTCTCTCTAGGCCTTGCTTATGCATCTAGGCCCTAGGTCTCAGCTTGCCGTTCGACTAGCGCCTTTTATAATTTTTTTTTGGTAATGAGATTATATTAAAAGAGAGAACCAACGACAACAACACAATAACGGCAACAAAGGCCAAGCTAAAAACAAACAAAAAAAAAATACAGGAAGGCTGTAAAAGCACCAACAATCCAACCTAACAACCAACATCAAGGGGAGAACAATTACATATGTGTGGAGCCAAAAATATTCACAGGGCGACACGTGGATTTTTGGACAAAAATGACAAAAATACCCTTGCAGTACAACGAGGTTCCTACGTGCAATCAGCGGGCAACCCTCTTTCAACCAAGACAGAAGTGCCCAAAATAGGTAACAATTCAAAGTCCATCTCATCAAATCCTTTCTACAAGGTAATTCCCAAACACATTCCTTTTAAATTATGTTAATTGGCTAATTAATGGGTTTATTGCCTAATTAACCCATTAATTGTCAATTAAACCATCCATTATATCCAAATAACTACAAAATACATCCAATTCAACCCTAAAACACCACATGGCCGGCTATCCCCATTTCAAAACCTAATCCATCACTTTTTTCTACCTTTTTCACCATTTCTTCCTTTTTATTACCCAATAAATTCAAAAAACCACCAAAACATTCATCTTATGTTTAATAGCCAAATAAATTGGCTAATTAAACCTAAATTAAACCTAAAAACCCTAGCCACCTCCTATCCCTATAAATATACTCCCATTCTCACCAAAAAGCTAAGGCCAACACTTTGGCAAAAATCCCAAAATTCTCTAAACACTCTTTCTCTCTAAATTCTAACTTTGGCATCGGAGGTTCTTCGGCCAAAGCCCTCCCCATTCATCGTGGGCGCGTGAGGCTCTTGGCCTTAACCTAAGGTGTTAATTGTTTTGTAGGTGCAAAATCGTCCAAGATCGAGGAGGAAGAAATTTGCATCCACAATATGGTTTCTCCATTTTTGAAAAATGGGCATATTTGCAATAGAGATCGAAATCTGCAAGAACATAACCGCAAGTGTATAGAGTTCATAATGGTTTTAAAGACATCAATGGAGTGGAGGTGCTTATTTCTGTATTTATGATTATTTCGTTCCTTCCATATAACATAGACAATAGCTTGGAGGCACAACTTCCTAATGGTAACATTCAATGACTTACACATCCAATTATTAATAGCCCAAATGATAAACTCATGCAATTCAAATGAGGGGGATCATAACCACACTTAAACAGCACATTAGACCAAATACTAGCACTATACGACTCAAAGAACAAGTGATTGTGTGACACATTATCAATCAAGCAAAAAGAGAAAATAAACGATACATAAAAGGTGAAGACCATTGCTCGACATAATAGATGACTTACCCCTTATAGCAAGCCAAAAGATGAAGCTCCACCTCCAAATACTACAGAGCATCAAATAAAGCACACGCGTACGATTAACGCGGGTGGCCATTAACTTTAGGGATTCTGTGAATCAAATCACACTTGTTTACTTTATTATCGTATATATACCCCTTCATTTCTTTCGAACTTCACACAAGCTTTTGTTTGAGTGTTTAAGGCAAACTGTCAAATTGCTTTGGTAAGCCTCTCTTTCTCATTTCTATTAATATCTGGTGATTCTTCATCAATATTATTTGATTATGAATGAATGAAGTAGATGAAATTTCTTCTCAACCGAACTTCTTTTTTTATTTTGGCAAAATTAAGAAGCCGTTTGATAATTATTTAATTTTCAATTTTTAATTCTTGTTTTACTTTTTTAAAAAGGAAAATAAAAAAAAATCGTTTGATTACTATTTTCAGTTTCCGTACTAAACACTGAAAGCTACATTATTGAGATTTCAATATTTGGTTTTGAGTTTTTATTTTTCTGAAATCTGAAAAAAGAAAGTGGTTATTAAACAAGTCAGTTTTTAATTACTGAAAATGAAATAATTATCAAACGGCCCTTAAGCTTTTTGCTTCTTTAACTCTTTTTGTTTTGTAACATTTTAAACTCTAAAACTATGCTTTTTATAAAGGTTTTTTTAACCAAAATGATCCCTGATATTTGCATAACTCCTCACTTTGGTCCCTGAGATTTGGAATCAATAGAAGTAGTCCTTAAGTTTGTCCACCATCAATCATTTTGGTCATTCTATGAAAAATCTTCATTAAACAAGGATAAAATAACAAAAGTGCCCTCAATTTTTGTCAAATCATTTGACCCATTGTTTAATAAATTGAGGGTTTTTTTTTTGTCATTTTGGTCCTTATTTAATATAATTTTTCATGGAAGGACTAAAATAATTAATAGTGAACAAACTTAGGGACCACTTCTATTGATGTGAAATCTCAGGAGCCAAAGTGATGAGTTATGCAAATCTCATGGACCATTTTGGTTTAAAAGCCTTTTATAAACATGGGTTTCTTATTTGAAAATGTCTTTTTTAAGGGCCAGTTAATTTTATAAGGTGTGAGATAAAAAATTGTAAATGCACACAAATGTTTGGAAGATTGGTTCCATATATGCTCTTTTTTATTTGAAGTTTACCATAACAATATATTTGTTTGAGTTACTATAATATGCAACGAAATTATCTCTCACTTCATGTTGTGTAGACCGTTAATTAAGTAGAAGCGTACTGTACTAATGTCACTTGTCATTCATAAACCTATGATCTAGTAAGAGAACACTAACATTCATGAGTACTTTGCTTCTTATTTGCTCTCAGTAATTTTTTAACAATATTATTATGTATCTAGGGATCAATTTCACGTAATTATATATAGATGGGAGATGAAAACGAGGACAAACATGAGACTTCTGAGAAAGGACTCTTTTCATCGTTCGGTTCTGGATTTGGTTCCGGACATGGAGGACAGTATGTTAAACCATGCCCTCCACAAGGATATGGATACCCCCCACAGCCACAACAAACACAGTATTCATCATATTCATACTCCTCTTCAGGCGGGAACTCTCCAACTGGATATCCTTACTCTGGAGGGTATCAACAGGCCTCCTACGCTGGTGGATATCCGCCAGCCGGTGGTTATTCATCAGGTTTAACAACTTCATATCATTCTGAAGGTAATCGAATCACTTTTGTCATAAATATATTCATTTTGTAACTTCATAAATGTTTTGGTTTGTCATTAATTATTTTCGAATTATCTATACTTGGGTACTACAAAATTATAGGTCAAACTATTCATGGTATATACGTACACGTGCATCCTTTGAACCTATGAATATGAATGTATATAATCAAAGAACTAAATTACATGCTAGCTAGTAGTGATCATCATATATGAACCACCAAAATGCCGTAAGTAGACTAATGAATGTTTTCTTTCTTTGGTGACTGAAAAAACTACAGCGCATGAAACATCTAGCATGGGAATGGGAGGGATGTTAGCTGGTGGAGGTGGTGCTGGTGGATCTGCTGCGTATGGGGCTAATCATCTTATGCATGGGGTTGGGGGCCATGGCTATGGAGGTTCCCACGGCATGTTAGCTGGTGGTGGTGGTGCTGCTACTGGGGCTAATCATCTTATGCATGGGGGTGGGGCTCATGGTTATGGAGGTTCCCACGGCTATGGATGTCCCCACGGCTATGGAGGTTCCCACGGCTATGGGGGTTCCCACGGTTATGGAGGTTCCCATGGCTATGGTTATGGCAGGTCCATTGACAGGTCCGTTTAGTCGATCTAGGAAACTATCTTGGTCGGTTCATCAAGATTGAAGTCTATATATAATCTACGCCCTCTATAATAAGAAAATGCTAGAGAGACTACATTTAGAATTCACGTTTGACTACTTTTCTTATAAATATGAAGTATATCTCTAATAGAAAAGTGGTATAATATAGTAATCTAAAATGTAATCTCCTCACTTGTTAGCATTACTTTTTAATAATTACTTTAGTCATGCTATTGTGTATTTTCAATAAATAAACATAAAGGGAAATTCTACGATACCCTTAAAAAAAAAAGGAATTGATACCCTTTAATTAGTATAACTACAATAGAGTGCTGCTAGTGCCACTCACCAGTTCTATTTTCTCACCCCACCTTATATTCTCACTTATAGGGATGGCAATTCTAACCGTTAAAATTGATAACCGTGGATAATCGCCCGAATGAATTGGATTTGGGTATGAAAATTCGGGTATATTTTGGATATGGGGAAAAACGGTTAATAATATTCGGTTATGGTTTTGGATATGGTTATAGTCCCCAATCTGTATCCGTCCCCGAATCCGAACCGAATTATATATAATAGAATAGTATTTATATATATTTATTATTCACCGAATCCAATACCTTGAGAATACAAAAGTTGCACTGTGTGAGTTGCATTTTGTGGGCAAGTTAAAAAGTTTTGATATGAATCAAAATCTATGAGAATCCTAACCAATAATACTTATGGGAGATATCAAAGATCAACCAACATTATCAATGTTTAGCTTTAATTTTTATGCTCCACAAGATCCATTCATTAAATCATTTTATATATCAAATATTTAATGACGAAATTAATATTTACTAAATCATCATGCGTCAATTGAATGAATAAATTTTTTTTGTATTGACGAAGATGGGTATAACGGTCAACTGATAGGGAATCCATTACTTAATAAGTATGGTTATGGATAATACCTGATGGTTAATTGGTGGTTATGGATATGATTAACTTTAGTGGTTATGAAGATGAATATAGCATTTTCGTCCCCAAATTGAACTATTACCATCATCACTAAAAGTTGAAAATGAAAATGTTCATTTCTCACCCACTCTGATTCCTAAAATAACCTTGATGTACTTTTTCTTTAATATGAAACAAAAAAAATAAAACAAAAAAAACTGAAGGAAAAATCAAAGAATCCAGCATCCGTAGTCATATACTGAAGCGGCGACGACAAACACCTCCTTGTGTCCTAAGTTCCGCACCGGACCATGAACGAGCGACAAAGATGGATTCATATTCTCTCTCACTCTCTCTCTCTCTCTCTCTCTCTCTCTCTCTCTCTCTCTCTCTCTCTCTCTCTCTCTATTTGTCTTCCCCTTTCCTCTCTTGCATCTATATCTATTCCTATTAAGAACAATGACGCAGTGACGAGGCCTCGTCTTTGTCTTCATTAGATCTTCTTCCTCCGGCTGTTGTTCGGTGACTGTGTCGTTGAAATCAAGGAGATTAGCACGAAAATCTCAAGTCTGAAATAGTGGACAGGAAGAATCTGGTGCACGATTGCAACTTTACTTGGGCGATTGGATATTTTTTGGTGTCTTATGAGTGTTCTTTGGTCTCTTTGTCATCAACAAAATGGTTGGGTGGGTGCTGGATAGTGACGTTAAAAATTCTCTTTTATCACTTTTAATTTTTAGAACCTTGTTTTGTTTAGGTCTTCAAGTTCATTTTGTATGAGGTTGAATTTGTCAATAAAATTTTCATACCAACGAGGATGGGGAAATAAGATAATAGGATGGGCATAGCACCACTCTTGCATTATAATTGTCAAAATTAATTGTTCAATGTTACATTAAACTGGTGAGATTATATGAATGATATTGTTTATTACACTACCAACACTGATTGTTACACAATGAATCTTGTAACCATATGAATGTAAGATATTATTAGTGGGCGTCACATAATTACGAAAAATTGATATTCACTTTAGGTACCTCCTCACGCTAGTTTTATGGTGTTACAACATCATGTTAGCATTCAACTTCCCTAGTGGTACCAATTTTAAAGGTTTGACTAGAGAGTAAGTTGTATCATCGAGGGGAATGGGTTAAAAGTCTACGTTTTAAGAATCGCCATAATGGTAACCCAACATAGCTGACTGGAGATCCCAAGATGAGAAGACCATTTCAAATTCTGTTTGCTTGAAAATGATCATACCAAAATTGATGCAGTGTATTAAGGAAGTTGATTAAGTAGGGATCTTGATATTCGGGATCGTCCTTTAAGTTTTCAAATCTAAGTTAATATCCCTAGTAATCAAGTATTTAAAATATTGTGTTTTTAGTTATATGGTTGGGTTGGAACTTGGTGATTATTATTTCTTATGTTGTAGTGGACTAGGAAGTTGTGCTAGTGTTTAATTAGGTTGTTGCTCGGCCTATTAAAAGGCTAGAATTGTTAAGGAAGGGGGGATGATGTATTTTGAATAGTTTTATGTAAATAGAGACTAGTTCTCTATATGTTCCTTGGGTCTAGTTGTGCTTGAGATTTTGATAATCCTCTCTCTATTTTCCTCCCCAAATTATTTGGTATCAGAGCTTTGCTACGCTCTTTGGTAGCTTCCACATCATTTATCTAAATGGTAGCAAGGAACGGTAGAGGAATGTGTGACTACCATGTGCAGGAAAATCACAGGAATGAGAGTGACGACAAAATTCAAGAGCTACGACGACAAGTTGAACTCCTAACCATGCAACTTGATCAACAAAATGTTAGCAACAAATCTGGAGAGTTAAAGACATGTTACTCAAGTGATAAGGCTGACTTCTTGAGTTCAAGTTGTGGAGGTTATTTTGGTGTGTTAGATTCGTTGATTGTAAATCTACCACCAATATTTGATTGTTGCCTCGAAGTTGATTGTGAGTTGTGTTCTAGTAAGCAAACTGAACAATTTGGGATCGATGAATTTTGTGGAGTTGAAGAAAAGAATTCGCCAGCTGTTCATGTGGATGCAAAGGAGGAGGTTTTTGAATTGCTTGATGAGGTTGACGGAGGTTCTGTCAACTTTGTTGATATGATTGGTAGAGTTCTTGAACATGTAATTGAATATGAGAGAGCCATTTGCGAGTTCCACACCAAGGTAAATTGCGTTAGTGAACAAGTTGATTTTATTGGAGCTCATGCCTTTAGCGTGAAGTTGCCCAAAAAACTAGTTGATCTTGTTAATGAGATGAAATATGGTGAAATGAATCTTTGGGTGGCAAAGCCAAATAAGATAGAGGATTTTTTGCAATCCAATAACAAGAAAATATTCTAAATATCTTTTTTATTGGAGTGGATGGCACCAATTTCAAACGAAGAGGATAAAGAAACAAATTGCGTAATTGAAGACTGCTTGGGATTCTCTTCAACCCACGACTTGAATTCGAGGACAAATTCTTTCCAAGCAGAGGAGTCTAATGCAGTGTATTATGGAGGTTGATTAAGTAGTGATCTTGATATTTGGGATGGTCCTTTAAGTTTTCAAATCTAATTAATATCCCTAGTAATCAAGTATTTAGAATATTGTGTTTTTAATTATGTGGTTGGGTTGGAACTTGGTGATTATTATTTCTTATGTTGTAGTGTACTAGGAAGTTGTGCAAGTGTTTAATTAGGTTGTTGCTAGGCCTATGAGCATATCCAAAGGAGATATCAAATTCAAAACATCAAATTTAAATTTGATGGTTGACATGGCAATTTGACATATTGTCAATATTTTCCTTCCACCTAGTATGTCAAAATTTATTGCTTCATTTATGTTTTTTTTTAAACAAAAATAATAGAAGTTAGGTTGTTATTGGTGATTTTTTATATTAGCACCCCACGAAATGTTGAATGCACCCCACATTAAAATTTAATATTAAATAACTTATTTACCCTACCATGTAATGGCAATTTTGACCTTATTAGGTTAAAATAAATTAAAAAAAAAATTCTATATACATCCCAAATCACTTTTAATGTATTATTGATCTTCTTCAACCATCAAACCCCTCCTACCCTTAATTGTTGAACAAAACCCTAACCAATGAAACTACAAACATGTTGATTGAGAAAAAATATTTTTGACGAATGAAACATGAAATCGATGTTTCGAAAGCTTCACATGAGGTAAGACTTCATATTTTTTATTGTTTTAGTGATTTTGACGACATCGATAATTATTTAATCTTGCTTTTTATGTGTTATTCAAGCTTCTATGTTCGTATTAATCTTTTAGGGATTACATGAAGAATTAAACACCTAAAATTACCATCAAATATTAAAAATAGATGACACGGGTTTTAATGGTGGAATTGAAAACAAGTCACATATGCTTTAAATCCCATGCAGCATCTTTCGTCAAAATTCTAGTCGGCATTTTTTGTCCAAATTAAAAGCTTCATAAGATTTGAGAAATGTGGGATGTATAGAAAATATGGGGTGCATGTAGAAAATGTAACGTGTATATTAAGAATGTAGGGTGTGAGGGTATGATGGGGAAATATGTGGGGTGCATTAAGATAATTTTTAATTGAAAAAGCAAATGTGGGGTGTATTAAGTATGTGGGGTTTATTCAACAATTTGTGAGGTGTTAATATAATAAGTCTTTAAAAATAATAAAATAATACTTAAATATGCTAGCATATAAGGTAAGGCAAGTGGAATGCCTTTGGAAATAGCAAAAATAAAATTTGAAGGCAACTTCAAATTTGACATCTCTTTGTCCATGTCAGCTGAGCGTTCTTTTCCATGTCATCTTTGACATCTCACTACTACAATATTAGCTTTATGTGGCGGATGATGGTGGCGGATATTAGAAAAATCATGTCGGTTATATCCGACATAAAGTATTGGCGAGTATCAAAAAAATCCTATCAATTATAACATACAATATTTTTGAATCTTTTTTTTTATAAATATTTTTGAAGATTCTGGCGGCTTTTAAGTTAATGGTGGCGGTTATAACCAACATAAATTGACTATTTTATTATTTTACTTTATGGCGGTTATTATTTTAGTATTCTGGTGGTTATAACTGACATAAATGAAAATTTTATTATTTTAATATGTTATATTGATTAAAAATAAATAAATAAACATATATTTTAAATATATTTTTTTCACTCATGACCCTAAAGTCTAATGAACCCAATTCCCACAAGCCATAAATTTTTTGAGAGAATAATAACAATAGACTACAATATGAAGCTTT